CCATTGGTCTGGACATGGGAATCTCATCCAGTAGCACCTTGGATCTCATCCATTGGTCTGGACATGGGAATCTCATCCAGTAGCACCTTGGATCTCATCCATTGGTCTGGACATGGGAATCTCATCCAGTAGCACCTTGGATCTTCCCGGAGGCCCTGGGAGGGGTGTGCCACCCTTCCCCATTTTAATGACGAGCAAACTAAAGCTCAGAGAAGTTTTATAACTTCCTCCTGTCATACACTGGGTCAAGAGTTTGTCTTTGAATCCCGAGCTGGCTCTCTGGTTTCTTCCACTCACATCCTTTGGCAGCTCTGCAGTTTCCTCTGCTCCCTCCCTGGGTGGTCTGGGCTGACACTAGCTTCTGGGGCTCTCTGTTCCCATATCCCTAGGGGACGAAGATGTTCAGGACCAGCTAGGCTTCAAAGCAGGGGGAAATTGCAGTGTCAGAACACTTTTGTCCAGGGATGGAGGGCACATTTGTTGGGGATCCATTGCATGCCAGGAATGATAAGAGATTCACTATTGTAGGGGCCTTTCTGATTTTCACAGTTAGGTTTAGGGAAGTAAAATGCCCTGCTTAAGAGCAAGGAAGGGGCAGAGAAGGTCTCCAACTCAGGCCTCCAATGTTCCAGCTGGCCTAGCTCCCTGCAGGGGAGGCTGGGCTGAGTGGCAAAACTCTACAGGAGAGCCGTCCCATTTTATAATTCTCTTTTCTTTGGCATAGATGATAGGGTCTGGAATTCCTGGCCTCTCTGAACACTTGACTGCTGGAACCTGGGAGCTGTGGATGTTTCCTATTTTCCATGGAATTCCTGACAAGACCACAAGTAGTGAGCAGTCTTCTGGTTGTTTGGAGCTGCCCACCCATGATGAGGCGGAAAGAGCCTGGGGTTAATTCCTTGTGGGGGAAGGGCTCTGGCTTTGGCTGGCTGTGCGACTTTATGCAGGTGTATTCACCTCTTTGATCCTCAGACTCCTCCTCTGTAAAAGAGGGATAACTGGGTGACTGCCTATAGCTCAAAGGAGTAGGGCACTGGCCCCATATACTGGAGGTGGAAGGTTCAAACCCAGCCCCAGCCAAAAAAAAAAAAAAAAAGAGGGATAACCATGGTCTCTATAAGGTTGGTGTGAAGGTTAACTCAATAATACATATAAAGCAGTTAATGCAATGCTTGGCACATAGTAAGTACCAGATAAGCATTCACCCACCATGGTTATGATAGATAATGGTATTGTCATTAATAACTAAAACCTTGGTGGAGATTTTGTTCAAGAACTAGAGAGAATGGGAGTGGAGGAGTGAGTAGGGAGAGAATGTTCCTTTCCTATCCCACTGGCAGCCATCCTAAACTCCACATGCCTGGGGCTAGCTCAGGAAATGCCCTGCCACCCTCCCCATTTACTCATCCTTGTGAGACAGGACGTTCTTCAGGCCCACTTGGTCTGGCTTAAAAGTATGGGTCTGTGCATGCCCGCGCACTCACACGCCCCCTCTCAGCACCACCCATTGCTAAGGCCAAGGGCATGGGTGTCAGAGTTGCCCTAGAAGTACCTTAGAAGAAAACATGAAAGCACCCAGATTTTAGGAATAGCTAGTTGCGCACACACAGTTTGATTTCTCTTTGTTTGGGTCTACAGGGAGTATGAACCATTGTTCTGGCTCTGCTGGTGGCCTCAGCCCTAGGGCTTTAGAGTTTTTTTTTTTTTTTAATGAATAATCAGACCAACTCCCTCACTTTGGGGAAAAGGAGACTGAAAGAGGTAAAAGGCCTTTCTCGACAACTCTTAACCACTGAGCCAGGGTAACTCCCCATGCTCCAGTTGGCAAAGTTCTCTCATCCCTCCCTGGCAAAGGCACAGTCCCGATGAAGGGTGTCCAGGCTATGACTCTCCTCCTGCCAGGGGGAGCAGAGAGTGAGAGGGCAGGACAACACACTGGGCCTGAGCAGGTTTCAAGTCTGTTTCCCAATTAGAGGCCTCTGGAGGGAAATAACAGGTCATCCCCTCCCTCCCTGTACTCCCATGCAACCCCCAGCTGAGGCCTGCCCCTGGCAACCTCCAGCGGATGCCTCCCCCACATTAACAAGCAGAAATTGTTGGGAGAAGGCACAAGGAATCCTTTCAATGACTGTGACTCTCAGGGTGAGGTGGGAGAGGTGGGGTTATTGGTGAAGACCGTTGCATTTATGGGGACTCTTATCTTTATGACAGAACCTCATATGGGACTTGAGATGCAGTAACAGGAAAAACAACATCTATAAAGATGTGGGTCGAGTGCTCTGGGGCTGTGCACTAGATGAGCACCTGGACCTGCTCCACGTGGAGGGAAGTCCTTGTAACCCCAGGGTCCTTGGTAAAGTCAGGGCCTGGTGGCCTGGAGCCAGGACTTTTGGTAGGGGTGCTGGGAGCAATTCCCAGGTCCACTCTCTCTACCCCTTCCCAACTCTGCGGGCTGAATGTGCCCCTCTCTCAACAGCATCCGAAGTACCATCCCTTCACACGCCTTCTCTCCCTCCACCTCTGGGGCAACTGAAGGGCAGACCCGAGCAGCCAGGGCATTGGTGAGGTTGGGATAGGCAGTTCCAGGGGAAGCACGGGAGGACTCCCCTGTGGGCTCCAGCTTCCTAGGAGGGAAAACGTGTAACAGCCAGAAATGTGAATAAACGGCCCCAAACACAAGAAACCAAACCAAAGCAAGAAAATAAAACCAGTTTATATACATTGCAAAACAAACCAAAAATAAAATAAAATAAAATAAAAAGGAGTCCCAGTTCTATTTGTTGAGCACCAGGGTCAATACTGCAAAACTTTCATCAAGTTATGTAAAGAAAAACCGGGAGCATTGGAAGGAGAGGAACAGGAAGTTTGTGCCTCCTTCCCTACCCTGCTGTGGTTTAGCTGTGCTATCCCAAGGGCAGCTGCAAGCCTACTGTCCAGGCACAAGTTCTTGACCCAAGATGGCCATCCTGGCTTACAAGTCCAGCTGGCATGTGATTTCCTGAGGGAGCCAGTCTCAGTTCACAGCCCTTTACCCTATTTGTTGGCGGACAAAAGGGCCCAAGAGGCAAAAGGGGCTGCCTGGTCAGCGTGACTCAGGCAATGGAAGAGATCTGGCTGGGTTTCTGCTCTCTGCAAAAGAGAGTCCTGGGGGAGGGCCAGCAGCTGCCCTGGCTGGGGTGACAACAGAAGAGGGTGGACATCAGCAGGGCCAGGGCGATGATGAAGGCAAGCACCCACCGGATGACGCCTGGGTAGATGAAGGGCAGGATGAGGACAATGAGCAAGACCAGCAGGAGCAGGTGCACGGCCAGGCGTCGGGCTGCAGCTCGGTTGGCACTTTCTGCATCCTGCTCGTCTTCTCCTGCCGAGCTGGGGTGCCCCACCGTGGAGGTGGCAGGATCCACCAGCTCCTGAGGACAGAGCTGCACTTCCAGGTGTGGCTGGGCCAGTCGCTCCACCAGTGCCTCTTGGTCTCGAAGGCTGCAGATGAGGCCCCCAGCGACAGCAGTGACCTTGCGGCACAGTGGGCAGGTGATGGACCAGGTGTTGTCCTGCACGCACAGCAGGAGCTTTAAGCAGATGGCACAGAAGGTGTGCTGGCAGGCCAGCAGCTTGGGTGACCGGGCACAGCCATAGGGCTCCCGGCACACCAGGCACTCCAGGTCCCACTCCTTGGAGCCACGGTGACTTGCAACGGGGCCGGCAGCTGGGGTGGTGGTGGCTCCCGCAGAGATGGGCTGGAGCTGTCTCGGGCTCTCAGGACAGGCCATTCTGGGCACAGGGGCCGGTGGGATGTGGATGCTCAGCCCCTGGGCTGGTAGCGCTGGTACCTGCTGAAAACAGCTCTCTTGCTCTGCTCTCTCCCAAGGCCGCCCAGCTTGTTTCTTAGCCTGCAACGTCCCTTCGGTTGTTATTATTTCTTTCCTCGAAACCTAGGGTTAATCAGTAACTCATGGGTCTGGAGACTTTGAATTGCCTGATAGAAGGGCCAAAGGGGGCAGGGCCTGGGGAGTCAGGCCTTTCCTGCTGGGGCTGGGCAATTGACCAGTGCCCACAGAGCTGTGGCTCTCCAGCTCTGAGATGCTTCAGGATCCCACTCTGCCTGGCCCCCTGACCCTTTTAAAAACTCACACTTCCAGACCCAAGCCCAGAGGCTGAGTTGGGATAGGATCAACAAATCTGCACAGTTAACAGACACTCTCGTGATCCCAATGGAGCAGATCGGGGACCCCACTTTGAGAAAGGCTGCCGTGGACGGGTCTCAGACAAAACCTTTTGGATGCTGAAATGAGCAGAAGTAAGTTTGTTCATGCTTTGAGCACACTGGCAAGGAGGAGTGATGAAGAAGAGAAGAGAGTAGTGATGAGAAAAGCATTCTGAGTGGAAGGGACAGAAAGCCCAGCCAGACACAGAAAAACAAAACCCCAAATGGCCCCCGGGGAGTTAACACCTGCTGCTGCGTGTAGTTCCTTACAGCCGCACAGTTGGATTAACAGTCACTGAAGCATGAGCATCCCTGGCCACTGGTGCCCGGCCGTGCACTGCATGTACCTAGTAACAGGGGTCATTTGTTGTGTGCTTGGCATGCCAAGTACCCAGCAGCACTCGGAACCGCTGTGGTTTATGTGGGCCTACTCTGAGCCAAGCCCTGAGCTAAAGGGTCCTCATTCCCGGTCTCCCGGGAAGGCCTGGGGGCAAATGGGAGGGTGTGGTCAGCGTAGGCCTGCTGGCTGCCTGCCAAGAGGCCTTCCACAGGGCAGGACCTGGTGGAATCTATCAGTGTCCAAGGTCGGGTTCTCCGTCTTGTGGAAATCAATCTTGTTGGTTGGTGGCGACAAAACTGGCCTCCGTGCAGGTGATTCAAGCTAACAGGATGGGCAGACTTTGAGTATCATAGCAGTGAAGAAAATGTGACTCCTGGTGGGACCGTGCCTGTCGCTCAAAGGAGTAGGGCGCTGGCCCCATATACCTGGAGGTGGTGGGTTCAAATCCAGCCCCGGCCAAAAAAACTGCAAAACAAACAAACAAACAAAAAACCATAATAACTAAGAAAATGCCTATGTTAACCAGTTTGGTGAAAGTATTTCAAATTGTATATAAAACCAGCACGTTGTACCCCATGATTACATTGATGTACACAGCTATGATTTAATAATAAAAAAATTCACCCTAAAAAAAAAAAAGAAAAGAAAACGTGACTCTTTTACCTTGTCCTGCATGTCGAGGGTGGGGTGGCACATCTACTCTCTCAAAAGACATCTCATTCGGTCCATTCAGAGTCCAGAAGCACGGGCGAGGGGTCTTTTGCTATTGTACCAACTGTCGAGGGGTTCCCCGGGGACCTACTCCTCTGATGCAGCTCTTGCCCTCACCCAAGGGGCCGCTCGATGACCCTCACTTCTTCCCTGCCCCAGGCCCCTCTGTTTCTGAAATCCAGTCCCTGCACTGTCCCATTCCATTTCTTCTCCTCACCCTTTGGCTTGACATCAGTTTTTTTCTTTGTCACATTTTCCCCTAGAGCAATCTGATGGGTGCCTCCAATCTAGCACTGGGCATCTTTCCTTCCCCAGGTCCACTGTCCTTTTGAGGTAACAGTGGCCTGTTTTCACTTAGGGCAACCACTGCTCCCCACTGTCATTCTGAGGGGTTCTGGGGAGGGAAGCGGTGCTGAGTGGTTCTCTCTCCAGCTCTGAGGGATGGAAGCTGATGGGATTCTGGGCAGAACAATCAGCATACTCCCTCCTGCTGTCTGCAGTGATCTAAGCCAAGCCACTGGGATTCAATTCTGGGGCTTCCGTTGGAACTCTTGAGGACAAGTTTCTCTTTCTGATGGTTTTCCAAGCTAGAGGATAGAACTCTGGGGCTGCCGGGACCACAGGGTGCAGAGAACCTACCCAAGAGCAGGGTCAGCACAAAAGATATAAGAGTCATTGTTTGAACACCTGGATCCAGCCACGCCTGATGCTAGGATCCAACTTTGGATTTTTCCTACGTTATGTTATGTTATATACTAACCTATAATATCTACCCCAATTTTTATTCTTAAGTCAGTTCAAATTAGATTTCTGTCCCTTGCAAGCAAAAGAATTCTGAGTAATGCAGCAATGGATGAAGAAAAAAAGACTTTACTAGCTCCCTCCAACAAAGGATTAAGCCTTGAGAGACCATCAGAGCGTCCTCATGCCTGTGGGTTACTGTGATAAAAGAGTCTGTATTTTTTTTTTTTCCTGCTTTTGCTTGCTCTGTGTAATATTCCTTTCTCTGTTTGCTAGATCCTAGGAAGGATTGGGGATGGGAGGAGAAGAAAAAATTAGTTGAACCACATTCATTTATAATGAGAAATAGAAAATCAGATGGTTTTCACGGTGATGTTGGCTTGGCCAGTGCCCCCCTCTCTGCTAGCCAGCTCAGTGGGAAGCCAGATTGTCAGAAGGCAGGGTTGAAATCAGACCAAAGGGGGTTTCTTGGGGTTACTGCCTAAAAATTAATCTTTTGACACTGTTGGAAAGCCACTGTGAAAAAAAATACTGGTTGTAACAACACATATATCACAGAAAAAAAGTAGAACGTGAAAGTTCTGTTTGTCACCACCCCTGAGAAATGGTCCCTTCTCACTGTATGTGCCTTCCAGTTTTCCTCATCCTGACAGCTGGGCTTGGGAACAACTTTGTTTCCTAACGGTGCCTTGCTTTAACTATCATCCGCCCTGACTTTATAGTTGGAAATCCACCTCCTGTCACTTCACTAGCTATGTGGCAAGAATTTCAACTCTGTGGAAGCTCAGTTTTTTAATTCACACCCAATGGGCATAATGCACACACAACATTAACTGCACAAATGTGAATTATGTATCAAAAAATGTGCACACCCCTGGAATACTCTGCAGTAAAAATTTTAAAGATGGAGACAGTAACATTTTGTTTAAGATTACTTGATCCTCCTGCACCTACTAAAACCTGCTCAGAGGAGGCTCCGTAATTTATGCATCTCAGGTTGTAACTGACCTGGGTGTAATGGATCCCTCCCTCCCTCGGATACAGTGAAGGTGGTGATCTGTTTGGTGACCTGCTCAGGCTCCCTGAGGAGTGAATGGGGGCAGAGTCGGGGTGTATCCCGAAGCAGATCTGTCCCCGAGGAAGTACACAGGGTCTCTGGAGACTTAAAATGTTCGATTCATGTAGATTTCACATTCTTCTCCATAATATATTTATGCTTGCTGTAATATTAGAATCTCAAAACATAAATAAATCCTTCCAAGTTTCCAAATAAAACATAGTGATTTGCTTTCGTTGCTGTACAAAGAGCAATTCATTAATTTTCAGTAAAATGATTTCTTCTCCCACTTGAAATGCAGGTTTTTTCCATCTTGTGACTTTTCACAGCCTCCAGTGAGGGTAGAATTTCACACCCAGTTGCAAGTGGGGAAGCCAGAGTTCTGTTGAGAAGGATCAGCTTAGAAATCATACCATACTGGTCACCCCAGACCTATCTCCTTACAGAGCCATTTCTGTTCTGCACTTGAGGCCACACATCAAGTTTGCTGAGAAAGGAGTCAGGGGTAGTAATGTCACGAGGTCAGACTTTCCAGCCCTTCCCTGGCCTCAGTCCTTAGTCGGCCCATGCTCACCCCACACTCCAGTGGACATGGTGAGCCGGGTTCCTGCAAAATGCCCATTGCTCTCCACTCCTCTCTTTGCCCTGGGCTGACTGGCAAGGGTCTTAGCTCTCACTCTTGTCCCAGAATTCCTGCCTCTGTGCTTCTCAGAACCCAGCAGCCTACGCCCCCATTGCCCTCCAAGAACTCCTGCCTCTGAGTGTGGATTTAGGGGGAGACCGAAGTAGGATCTGGAGCTGAAATGGCAAGTGAGAAAATAAGGAACACACGAGAGAAAGACAATGTGGAAGAGATAGGGAATGCCTCAGGCACAAACTGCAGCAAGTTGGGAAATTGCATTTCATTTTCTTTATTTTTTTTTCCTGGCTGCTTAAAAATAACTACGTAAAAAAAAAAAATCCATACTGATCGTTAAAAAAAGAATAGAAGTCCTGATGAACACAAAGACAGCAGTGATCTCATGGCTCACCGGGAACGAGTTTTAATTTTGCATATTTCCTTCTAGATTTCTCTCTGTGCAGACTTCCACAAATATGCTTTTTCCCTCCACTAAAACGAGAACCTACTACTTGCGTTTGGGGAATCTTTATTTTTACTTAATAGCTCATCGATGTAGCTCTTTCCCTATGAATGGAAATTGAAATCATTAATGTATTTGAAATCATTTCTGAAAGTTGTATAAGTGTGCTATTAAATGAATGTACCCTATTTTAATTCATCAGTTCTCAGGGGTCTTTTCCATTTTTCACTGTTGTCAGCAGCCCAGTGGCAAGCACCCTCGGTTGAACGCATACTTTTCACTTCTGGCCCCTTCAAAAATGCTATATGTATGCTGTCTTCTCCATCTGCCTTTTTGGCAGTGCTTCAGATCCCAAACTCAGATCCATGCTTGGCTGTTGGTGAACTTGATTTAAGCCACAAAGGCTGGAATTATGAGCTAAGTGGCCGTAGAAGAAACCCTTTGTTCGACTCAGAACTATCACAGTGCACTTACGCCTAAGGTTACAGCAATCAGAGAATGCAGCGTTCATTATCTGATTTGTTCTGTAAAAATTTGTATTCCAGGGCGGTGCTTGTGGCTCAAAGGAGTAGAGCACTGGCCCCCTATACTGGAGGTGGCGGGTTCAAACCCAGCCCTGGCCAAAAACTGCAAAAAAAAAAAAAAATTTACATTCCATTAAAAGGCCACATTGAAGGATCAAGAAGGCCGCAGGTGGCCCCATGCCATGCCTCAGGTTCCCCACCCTT